CTACGCGGGCAACGGACCATATTCCATTACATATTATAGAATAAATAATATACATACGACTCCTTTATGCTATAAAGGAGTCGTAGACTTTTTTTCTTATTGGTTCGCTATTGCTACGAGCTTTTCTAGCACTGATTTTTGTATCGGCTTTGGTGCCGCCGGCGGCGATAGCAGCGCCACAACTACCTGTAGTGATCGCTAGAAGGCGAACAAGCTGCAATGTCCAAGGCAGTGGCCCCTCCGTTGTTGCCCCGCTCAGCGTTACGAGGCTGCCCGGAAGGCCATGAACATTTAGTGATTCCAGTAACAGCGGCAACTACAAAAGCCGTCAATGGCTGTTGCCGATGACCTGTAGTTCCCAAAGCATACTGCAGGCTGCGTGTCCATCACAAGAAAGGAGCAGTAAAAACAATTGTTGTTACCGTTATTTCACTCTTTGGCTGATTCTGCTACTGCTGCTGCCGTCGCTGATACTGGCCTACACCTGTAGAATTACTCGCCATCGAAGAACGGCGAACGCTGTAGATGGTTCCTGGTTCGTTTCCCACTTTTTACGCTGACGAGAGTCGCACTACGAAACGTACCACCGCTAAAAAACTAAACGTCGCAACTAGTGAAAGCCAGTTGACATCTAGGTTCATACTGCAATGGATTACGACCTTTTTTCTCTATTTTTATGTTATTTCACTAACTTTCTCCGCATAGCTTGTGCAGTAGGTATACTGAAGCCATAGCGTGGAACAATCACTGGATCGCCAAATGAATCGATGGCGCAAAGATATCGGTGCGGTGATTTGCTTTATCTGAAAGTACCCTTTTATTTGTTACGAGGTACATAATTGCTCAACCATTAAATATATCAGTGCTCTATACGTGTACGTATACGTACGTGACAACGAGATCCTGTCGCTGTTCTACAACAGCCATCGAGACAAGGTGCCAGATATACATACATATTATATAGTTTAATGGGCTGATCTAGCATAGCAGCGCAATCGCATGAAAGTGCGATATAGCTGCCGATAGGCACGATAAAGTATGGTAGTTGAAGCGGAGGATTTAAATTGCAACAATCGATTTTGTCCCGGGCTCCTATAACAGAATGCTTTTCCTAAGATCCGGCGGCCTTGCTAACACTAAAAGGACGCCATCTACAACCTTCTGCGTATTCTGTTTCATGCGGAACACCTTTTTTATAAATGCGTCTCTTTTTTCTTCGTTGTTGATTAGCCACTTGTCAGGAGATAGACCAAAACAACATTTCATTTGAAAAATCGCTCCCGACGCTATCCCGGCTAATCTTTGAGATACATCTATCGTTTATGTACGATGCGTTGGCAGTTGTTGGCAAAGCTTTATGTCAAGCTAAGCCGGCCGACCGACCGCAGAGTCAGCCTGCCTCTGCGCGAGTAGATATACGTAACTATTGCCACTAAGTGTGGAATAAGCGTTGCCAAGTGTTCGGTCAACTATTTCTGTTTTTATACATGCTAGCAGACATCGCGCGTCGAAACGTGCAATATATGCCACACGTTATATGGAACTATTACATAGATCATACAAAGCATAATGGAGATAAATACTGGTTGGGTGTTATGCGAAAAGGGGGAACAGAAAAAAAATATGCTTACACGTGAGAAGAAGGAAAATTACAACCCGTTACTATTATTTTGCATGAACATGGCTGCTATTTGTTAATGATAGCATCACAGTACTCATTGTGTGGCCAGGTAGTAAATGCTTGAGACTGTCATTTTCGTTACCGATATCATTTTATACTTCCGTTCCAACGCTCAGGCAATCCATAGGCAAGGCATCGTAAGCAACTCGCCTGACAAAGACGTCAGAACGTGTTACCCCCCTGTGTCAACGTTATGTGTGCACGTACGCGTCATTTACTGTGGCTCAGCGCTTGTTGCATCTTTCTTCTTGTCGTTTTCAATATACACACACACACATTGCATAAATGGATAAAGGCAGTGTTTAGACTAGTGTTTGATAGAATCAAAGTATGCCTGGGGGATTCATACGATGAGCTGAGCAATAATAGCAAGAAACTGCTGTTCTACCTAGAGTAAGTTCGACTTACCTGCCTTACATCCCAACTCTATATAGGAGTAGTGACAAAATAATTTATCATATATATATATATATATATATATATACCACTCCGCTATTCTGCTTTTAAATGTATTTAAACGGTTTAAGACCATTTGCGGTCTGGGCTAGTTTCTCCTTGAAAGATCACTCCGTGCACATAAACCGAATTTTTTCTTTTCGGCTGCTGATCTATTGATGTTAAAGTATGCGCATCTAGGTGTTCTCATCAACCTTTGCAAATCTTTGTAATTGAAGATACTCCTGGCTTCAGAAACTGTTTCTCCGCGGTGAAAGCATATGGATTTTCATCATTTTCTCGGACACGCGCATGATATTCCTTTGCCTGAGGTGCTACGTTCCCTGGAAACCGCTCGAATAGACGAGCCTTAAGTTCATCATACGTCGCATGGCTACCCATGGCGAACTCGAACCATTAACACTGAATGTATCGCATCCGGCCCTTCCTGGGTTTGGCAAAGGTTTATAAGCAGTCCCGAACATACGCTGATGCCACCATCCGTAGACATCAGTTGCTGTCTAGAAATTCTACCCATTGCTCAGGCCTCGAATAGCGAAAAAGTGGCAGACCCGGCAACTATGTGACTCCCTTCGCACTGCTTGCCAGGCGCTCCACCACAGACTGCAGCCTTTTATTCATCCTCAGCTCGACCAGTGTTTTGGTAACTCGACTTGGCTACCACAAATAACTGGAACAAAAAAAATATTAGCTTCCACCTTATTCTGAATGATAAAATTGCGCTACTATTGTCATGGACACGATTCGTAACTTAGCGATAGGTAACCACTTACTAAAATTACCTCGCTAGAGACCTGTTATGTGGATATGTCAACGGATCGCTGTTGGAGAATCGTTGCTGTCCTTACTGGTCCACAGGATCAACTTCACATAATAAAAACGTACTATCATGATCTGGTCTCGTTTGCTTGCCTTACGTAGCTGGTTATTAGCAAGATGACCTTACCTACTCCCTTTCTTAAGAGCAAGGTAAAATATCGCTAGCACTACAAACGAAACAGCCCTACCGAAAGACCTCGAAATATTGACTGGACCCTAACAGCACTTCCGCTATTTTCTACCCATCCCAGTTGCTGCTGAAACTGATTTTCAGTCAGCTTCTACTAGTTTAGCTCCTCACTGAACGCTGCTGACCAAAAAACATCGCAGTCGTTCGTTTGCTTGAATCGGCAGTCCTCAGGATTGGTCAGATATCGCAGACGATGTAGTTTACCCCTGTCGTCATTCTTAGTGCTAAGAGCAGCTAATAAGAAGGCTGCGCACGTTCCAAATAGCCTTAACGCCCCTGCGGATCTGAGTACATACAGACACATCTTGGTATTTCACGGCAGTACACCTCGTTGGAAGTGAAGGTCGACGCCATGAAGGTCGCTCGAAGGGTTAGAAAGAGAACAGCTGGACACAGAAGTACGTAAGGACGAGTGTAGTGTCCCGTAGACCTGGCATTATGAATCTGCCACTCCTACGAACGTGTGAACAAAAGGAGATAACTATTGTTTATTTTTGAGACGCCTCGTTGTCTGTTGCCTAACAACTCGCTTGGCCGGCAAAGACTTTCGCATTTTAATGTTTAAGTTTAACGATAATGAACGAATAACACATTCAACAGGCATGTAAGTCGATAAGGTAATGACCGAAAAATCGTTCTTATAACTGATTGAATCTGAGTGCAGCTCCATTATTCCGGCTAAGTGAATTCTACACCATACTAACTAATGGGATCTATCAGAAGACGCGCAAAATTACCTTGGTGATGCCATCGTAATTAGCAGATAACGCAAGCTGTGAGCTTGCATCGTGGAGACGATTAGTTCAGGACACTTAATCTAAGTAGACATGAAAAAAACAGGGTGATGCCCGTTCAGCCTCTAACCGCCTCCAAATCCTGCTCAACACAGGTCGGCAGACGCTTCTCACCGCGCACTGCATTTAACTGATGACCTTTGTTTAAAAAAAAAACATATTATCTAGGAACTACTAGAAAAACAGACGGACTATGACTATCGTCGCGACAAATACAGTCGATAGTGCTTCTTCGTAACCATTGATTCTTCCCCACTGAATCTTACTCGCTACAAATTGACCAGGCAGCCGATAAGTGCATTGGCATAGTTCGTGGCAAGCTCAAATTCTCATTAGGAAGGTTTTGCCTTGAACAGTGTTGTCAGCATTCCTAAACGTCGTTCGATGCGTAAATTTTCTTATCAACAAAAAAAAAAACAAAAAAAAAAAACGGAAATATCAGGATAACGCCGCAAGCCTGGACGATAAGCTCAACTTCCTTGGAGACCTTGAAAACACCTGCCGGAATAAATAGGTGGCTAGATGGCTGCTAATGAACAGATTTGCTGTAACCAGCGATAACCGACATTGTCGTTATCAGCATAGAAACTTAACGCCACTGGGATGATGTTAGCACGGACATAGAAACGCAAAGGGCGCTAAGACGACCAACGTACTTAAGCCCTTTCTGGTCTTACAGTAATCATTATGTGTAGGTTATTATCAGAGGACTTGCCACGGTTCCGATAATCGACACTAGGGATTGTCACAGCTACACATATTTCCAGATGGCCGTTGGAGTACGTTTCTAGCGCTCTTTCGCAGCGACAAACCGGTCCTGTTTTCCTACAGGCTATGACGGCACAATAGTGATTTTATAATGCCAATTTAATAATAGCCAACAGGACAGTGATATCACATGGTACAGCATCCGTGTGGTAATGCCGTTAACAAGCATAGATGTTATTCCACCTGCTACCACATATGCCCCAAATGTGCTGTGGTCTTTCTTTATCTATGTGCTATTATTTATCTAATAAACTGTTTAATTATAGACAAATCGAAAATAAGTGTTTGGTACCTACGCGTTGACGCCCATGGGTTCTGTATCTCGTATAATTCCATGCCGCGTGTTCTATAGTCGTTTCCTCATATAATAGCAATTCACACAATACACTGGCACTGACGCTCCCGACACTCTTGGTAAACAACTGAAAATTGTGGCCGTTGTCGCGGCGCGTTTGACTGAAGGGAATCCTCTCTCGTGGGTCTTTCAGCATCACCGAAATAGATGAAATGATAGGCGAAAGTCGAGAACGTGGCTTTAATAAAGGAGACGCGGTACTGAACAAGGGAATCGTTCTTTATGCAACGCTTGAGCTGTGAAACAGTCCTCACATTCGTACATAGACAGACGGAAACAGATGCCCTCAATGCGCACCTGTTATGAAATCGGTTTACGATAGGTAGCATGGCCACTTCCAACGGACAAAGTCATTGTCAATAAATGTGTCATTTTTGGAGTTGCCGGTCTTCTATATGAAGAGATTTTCTGCGAATAGGCCTAAGTTCACGCTGGTCAAACACAAAAAAATCGGCCTTTTTATATGACAAACAAATACTAGACTCCTTTAGAGGTTTAGTAGTGAACTGTAATCACACTTTAGCCTAACTTCGGTAATTATCATATTCCTAATTCTCGATAAAGCAAAATTCCTTATAATGGATCTAGTCCCGTTTCCACAAAAAAAAAGTCCTAGATTTGTCCCACGTTTGCTGTCTTTTTAAGTTGACATTTAGAGTGGTTAAATTGCGAATTTTTAAATATATATGGCCAGATTGCCGAAAGCGTTAAGTGGATTTGGATAATCTATTTGCCTAGAAATTGAAAATATTGGTCTAATGATGTCTGTGAGATAAGTCCTATGTTTGCATAAGTTAGCCTTCTTTTTCACTGACTTTAGAGTACTGTAGGGTAATGCTTTAGAGAAATTTTCCTGTAATATTTCGTCAAATTGTTAGGGATATCAAAGCTATTAGAAAAAACAACTACAAGCTAACAAAAGCCGGACTTTGGCACTCTCGCACGGGACGCGGTCGGGAATATCACTGTCATCTGCAAGGTTTGATACTATTCGAGGCCTCATTCGAACGGACGAACAGAAGAACACTGTTATCCAATATCGTATCTGCGAAGGAGTTCCCCTTGCTATTTAAGTCACAATTAAATGCGTAACTACTAAGGACTAATACACATACACAGTGCAATCCGAAGCCGGCTGATATATATCGGCATGAACCGTATGTGCGCACGCACATTTTTATACGTCGCACGCTGGAACACTCAGCCGACCGTGGTGTGATGGCGCGCAAAGCCGGCAACTGCTAATACTGTCGATGCCTGTTGTCCTTTGTGTAGGGTCATGTGCCCTTCATACTCTATGCTGTCCTTACCTCCTACCTGTGGCGCTCTTTCTCCACACCAACTCCCTTCTGTTCTATACCCCTCCCCTATCCATAACACGTCCTTTAATGTTAGCCCATTTCACTCTCACTCGGTTTTGCTTCTCCTTGCCTATTTTCTCTATCGCTCTTGCTTTTATCTTAGTCTCTCGCTCTCTCTCTCTCTCTCTCTCTCTCTCTATATATATATATATATATATAGATATATATATATATATATAGATATATATATATATATATAGATATATATATATATATATATATATATCTATCTATCTCTCCCTGTGTGTCGCCGATGCCGACACCGCCACTGATGTCGTCATCGTTTTCGTTGTTGACGTCGTTGTTCGTTCATGTGGTGGCAACAACGGCCGCCATTCTGTTTGCTAGCATCGTGCTTTCCTGCGAGGGCCCGACAGTAGTAACAGGGGACCCGCTTCTCAGCTCTCAGCTGGTCCAATACCAGAGAGCGGTCATACAGCCGAAATAACATGCTGAGTTTGCAATGGCCGCCTGCATTCCATTTGCCATCTGGCTTATTTTTTAGGTCCCCAGCCCAACTTGTCTGTGGCCCCCAAAACCCTTTTCCCTCCCACGTCCGCCGTCGAGGAAATCCCTCTTTCAAATTTTCCTTTTTTGCTTCCTCTACCCTGTGAGTTTCTTTTGTATTCTAAGATGTTGTACTAGGTATGACTGTACGCTCCATCTTTCTCGGCTTTTTTTGCTGCCCTTCGTGATCGGCTGTGCAGTGTTGTGCAATTGACTGGCCTACATTTAAAGCGTCTTTGCGGGCCTATCGTTCCTCACGGGCGACTCAGCAGTCGTCTTTTTTGCCGCTGGTACGCTCCTATCTTCGGTGGTTGGATGAGTATGCTAGTGCGCTTGTCACTAGAATTCGGTCGGTGTCTCCTTTTGGCGATGGTCGTAGTCGATCGCTACTATCTCCGCCGCCGCTGGTGGATTGCCATTGTCCAACCTAGCAATAAGTGAACCGAGCTGTACCGCATAAACGAAACAATGCCAGGGTTAATAGACCAAACAGGAAAGACGGGAAATCTTGTTGTTCACAAAAACAGCGCATGGAACTCTATCATCAATCGTTTCGTGTAGACAAAAAATCGCAAATGAAGGATTACCAAGGAAATCAAGGATGGTCGCTGCTTCAGCAGTCGATGCCGGAGAGAGGATCGCTAGGAGACGGCGGTTTTTGAAGGAAGCAAATGAACGGTCGCGGCACTCTTAGACGAATGCCCTTGGCAACACCGAACGCCAGCGGCAGCAGCGGCTGGCCAAAACAAGAGAACGAGACAATACGGGAACAAACGAAAGCTTTCTCATCTCAACGACGCTGAATAGAATACACTAATTGTAGAAGGGAAAGATTGAAAGGGCAGTTAACTATTAATAGCATTAGCAACATTTAATCCTCGAGTGGGCGCACGTACGTTTACAGCTTTTCCTACCGACCCAATGTAAAGTTTGCACTACCCTATAAAGAGCAACAGGCCTATGATCAATGGCAAGCCGTAACTTCTAGTTATAGTAGCAAAGCAATTTAATACGTTCCACGAGCGAACAAGAGAGCTAACGAAGCGGCTGCTAAAGTCGTTTTCGTTCACTGCGTATATATGCATGAGTAACGTTATAGATATTATGACGATGGCTACAAATGATGATAGTTTGTAGAAATGAGCGAACTCAACAATCTTCACCCTTACAATTTATAGATGCCATATATAAACAACTGCGATGAGTAACCAATAACCTAGTGTTTATGTGTTTAAAAACCAAACTTGATTACCTGTTTAATTATTCAACAGCAGGAACAAAATTCCAAATCTCGGTTCAACTTCTATATTTTCATACACTGTATGTATTAATATTGTGGTCATGTTAGAATGGGCTGACATCAGCAGAAAGCATCGAGAAGTTGTGGTAAACCTCCAGTAAATCAGTTACGATGACCTTAAAAGCTTGTACGGTTTTTGGCAGCGCTAAGACATTGGTACAAACCTGTTGAAATGGACGAGAGTAGAACTTGTCTTATGTTAGGCAAAAGTTGTAGGACTAAGTTCGTCCATAACATCTATATTGCTTGTTCAGATAATCTAATTAGATCATTCAATAGTAGTCAGTAATCAACATAAAAATGATCATCCAGCTGATAGTTTGTACGTAAGACCAGCATCTACCCAAGACCAAATGGGTCATTAGAGTATTTATCGTAGAGGACCCAGCATTAGTCCCCTAGGTTGCATCGCAATCAACCAGACACGTAATGGCAGCTTGTTAGAATGCTGTGCAGTTATTATTCAGAAATCTAGTATCCGCGAGACTATTTTTCAGTAAAAAAACAAACACCGTCTAAGTAGTATGACACGCAGGTGATCGATCAGTTCTTTGGTGCAGCCAGACAAATCCAGCATAAGAAGAAAAATAAATGATAAAAGCTGATCAACTTCTTCGTAATCCTGAATCAGCCCAGTCGGATCAGGAAATAAAGTAAAAAAAAACTGCTATCCGTAGGGTAACTGCGCAATAATCACAATCAAAGCGAAGTTTTCCTGGGCATATATTTCACCTGGTGGACAAGTCAACCCCCTGGTGCCGCGTCAAAACGAAACACAGCATATATTGCCAAATGCGCACTACCTTTTGTCTCGGAAGAAGCACGCAGTTGAACCCGTTTATTTATTTACCTGCCAAAGTCGAACAGTTGTTTACGACGAATTGTGACCTTTCCCTTACTCAAACGAAAACATTCTAGGGAAAACAAATGGCCTCACCGATAGTACCTCAGTGTATGATAAACTGGGCGTAGTAATTTTCTTCAATGAAATTAAACCCACCACTAAACCTGAGACTAGCTGAGGTGTCATGTCAGAGGTTCTGGTATCATAGACAACTCTTCATGAGAATCGTATTATTTCCACTTTTTTCAGTAGTGTATTTAAAACGGAAGCTATTTCAATGAATACCAATACAAAGTTGGAGCTGCAGTTCCATTATATATATTTTTTTTTTTTTTATAAAAAAACATTTGAGTTTATAGTCGCAAATAGAACGTGATAGCATAAGATGTGTAACTAAGTCGCTTTTCTAATTCAACCCAATTCTAACCGTAAAACTAGAAGTAATAAGTGACTACAACGTATTTGGCCGGTATTTGCCCATGAAAACGTAGCTCTATGATTTAGTGGCCGCATCTGCTCTAGCCTGCTTCGGTGCCGAAAATATTAAAAAAGAAAAAAAAAAAAACTTAAATATGTTTCTGATTTGTGATATTTGGTTTGATTTGGAGTATAGTAATGTGTTTTTTTTTTTCGTTTAAAAGTGATAACGAATTAGCAATTTCGAATAGAAAAATTTGTGTCACGTCTGAAGTTCGCTAATAGATGTCATGGCCAAACGTATCTGTTAATTTAATCTGAATATATCGGCTAACTACTAAGTTAATCTTGTAAGGCTCCAGACATCGGAGAGACCAGCAACACGCATAAACGACAAATTAATTAAAAACAAACGTTTTTCTATTTTTATATTGCAGCTAGAATAACGACCTTCGATAGATCTCTGCTCGACTTCAGTGAATAACGTTGAAGTTAGCACCGTACTGATAACTTTGAGACCAGAGAAGCGTTTTTTTACGCATGGGGCTGACATAAAATATAGCTGCTATTCGCAAACTGACAGCGATCATATGTGTCTATATATATGGGCTTATGTGCGTTCACGGTATTTCTGTCATCCACTAACATTCAGTGGCATTTTGTTCCTTAAATCAACTGTCTAGCATTAACTGGACTACAGATCCCGCAAGAAGTGGAACAAATATATCTTTGTATGTATGTGTGTGTATTTAGTCGCCTGCAATGAACATTGCTTAGGCAGCTCACTTTGTGTGGGCCGCCGCATGCCGGTATGATTTGGCGTAAACGACATCGTCAAAAACCTTTTTGCGTCTCTTTTAATTAGCCTTTACTGAATTTGCGAAACGTTCGTGTAAAAAATTATACGGTGTGCATACAATATGTACCCCGTTTACGGGCTCTGGACTATCTGCGCGATCCAACCAATAGATGCACAGTTTGAACCATAATCTAAAGCGAGCACGCAGATACATGCATAGCGCGTGCTTCGTTCGCTCACCCAACTGGCGCCGTCTGCTGGACAATAAATCATGATCTCGCTACGGATAACAGGAACCATTTCTGTCATTCTTTCGACTGGACAGATCGGTAGGCGGGTGACAACCTTCGTGCACAAGACAAAACTATTATCGTATTATATATCACACGTAGACAGTGCTCTTCTCCATGGACGCTCCATTGTTCCGTTCGGTGGCTGTACAAGTCACGCTAACAAATGCATCACCGTAGTTCAAGTTTGTTGTTGTTATAGATTTCCGCCGTTGACTGAGAGAAGCTTCTCGGCGTAGCTGTGGTCGTCTCCCATTTCTTCGAGCGTTCTTCTATTAACGTTGGTTATAATAGTGGAATTACATTTGCTGTCGTCGTACTATATCTGCCCCATTAGCTAGGCCGTCATCGAGCCACATGGCACCTTCTGTTGTCGCTTTGGCTTGCCAGCTGATATCGCTGACTAGCATCGTACTTCAGTGTACGATGGCCAAAATGACGGAACATCCAGTCGATAGGCGAGCTCTGATGCAGCGACTGTAGTAATAACGCTGGCTGCCGTTAGCATTGATAAATTATTACGCTGGAGATAGCAAAATATAGATGGACAAACATGGGACAGTGAGTTTATGAAGGAGCGAGACTGTCTGATTTCGAGACACGCTTAATTGATATTGCTGCTAATATTAATGACAACGCCAGAGTTGCCGCTTCGACGTACCCTTAACTGATTCGACAGGATCAGT